CAAGCTCTCAGAAAACTTAAATCGTTTTTTTGATTTAAATCGTTTTAATGACTTAAGTCATTTGGTAATAAGTCATTTCTCTAAAACTGACTTAAGACTTAAAATTTAAGTAATTTTCAAAATGATTTGTGACTTAAATATTTTTTTCAAAATAGAAAAAACTTAAGTCATTAATAAAAGGCTTAAATCAGTACATACGATTTAAGTCATATAGAAACGATTTAAGTCAAAAAAATATTTAAGTCTTTATAAAAGTCGGTAAATTATTTAAGTATTTTAAAAAGATTTAAGTCTTTTTGAAAAAGATTTAAGTCTTTTTAGAAAATATTTAAGTCAGATTTTTCATATATTTTTAACAGCCAGGGGTTCACGCGGCAGCAGATCAAAAACTCCTTTAATTTCCTACAGGTCTACAATTGCTACCGCTAGTGAATAAAAAAACCGCCGCGGTAAAGTTAGCTTTTTGGAACCGTTTGACGGCTACATTAAAAAATGTCCTGTCTAAAATAAATGAAAAAAAATGCGGATTTATAATTTTGTTTTTTTGTTAGGTCTAATTTGTAACTTTTATCTATTTTAACAGAGTTTGAATCTATTACCGTTTAGAAGTTACCCATTTATGTATATAAAAAAGTAGCCTCCCTGTATGTACTCTACTAAAAAAGGTGGTTTAAGTTTTTATTTTGATTGTCTACTCAAAAAATGTGTTTTAAGTTTTTATTTTGTTTGTAAGTGTTCTGAAAATAAATCGTTTTAAATTCTTAACATAGTGGTTTATTATCATCTGTATCTATAGATACATATACAATAGATTAATAATATCAGTATCATTAATACCATAAAATTATTATTAACATTTAAAAAATCGTTGTATTGACTTAAGGGTAATTATTTTGATTTAAATCACAATTTTTTATTAAGTCATTTTATTGACTTAACTCTTAGATCACGATTTCAATAAAAAATATTAAAATATTAGTAAGTCATAAAAACGACTTACTAAAGGAATTAAGTCATAAGATGACTTAAATCACTTTATATTGATTTAAGAATTTGCGAAAATGACTTGACTTGAAAGAAAATGATTTAATTCAAAGACTTAATACTTAAATCATTTGAACTGTATCTTAGAATTTACTTAAGATTTAAATCATTTTGATTTTAGAATTGACTTAAGACTTAAGATTTAAGTCTTTTTAAAAATGACTTGTTGCAGCTCTGACTATATATATACTATAGTAATGACCAAAACCCTTCACTTGGGCGAGCTTGAGGTATGTTTGGAGGATTGTCTTTGTTGGGCACAAAAGGTATGTTGTGTGCTGCTAACCAATCTCTGGTAATTCGAGCATAATGGCATGATGCTTGGTCAGGCCAAAACATTATTTCGTCTCCAAGGTGGTGTTTACTAATAAAATCAAGTAATTTTGGGTAGGTATATATATTATTATCTAAAATGGCAGCCCAAACTAAAAATTTATCTTCAATTTTTTTTCGCCTTATGGCAACTGTATTAGGACACGTCATTTCCTTTCATTTCTGAATTGTAAAGAGTGACATATTTTTCGTCATCCAAAATGATGCGTTTGTTGTTCGCGATATGGATTCGTCGTAGTGCTCTGCAGCATATCGGAATTCTCGGAGTTGATTCCGCGTGTATTTTGGGCATTTCTGTCTTTTGCGATATTTTAAGTTTCTTCTTTTAAGTGGTCTTTGTATAGTGGCACTTAATACATGAAATCTCCTTGCCAGTTTTCGATGAGATGTACCCACTTTATTTATTGCGCTTTCAACCACTATGTTTTCACGAACGTCACTTAGAACTTTGGTTGGTCCACTTTTTGGTAAGTTAAATCAAGGTATTCCTTGTTCGCATTTAGCTATTTTCCGATAGATTGTTGTTTTGGAGATATTTTCGTTTCGAAAAATATTTACAATTTCACGTTTTGATAGCCGTCCAACAAGACTGTAGATACTTTTTCGAATTTCCGTCTTGAACGGTTTTATTTTCGCCTAAAGATAACCAACTTTTAACCTAAAACATGGCTTAAAAGTTAATTTTCCCGATTTTTCGGTTCTAATTACGTTTAAATTTGAATCAAATTATGACCGTTTACAACCTATAGTCCAAAAAATTTAAATATATCGTTGCTGCGCCTGAAAAAACATCTATGTGCATTTTAACCCTTATGTGCATAGAGAATAAATATACCGCACAGATAGATACAATTGTACCTTATACTAGAAAACATGTTTTTGTTTTGCGAAAGCAAGTTTTTGGAATTGTTTAATGTTTTGTGTTTTGGTTATTATATCTCTCTTAAGAATTAAAAGCTTTGAAATAAAAAAATTATATAAAAAAATTGTTTTGTTCTGCGTAGGCCGTTTTGTGAAATTGTTTATTTTGGTTTAAATTCAACGCATTGAAATATTTTAGTATTGATTCGGTTTTATAAAGTGTTTGAAGACATGGAGGGCCAAAGGGAATTATGTCGTCATCACATAGCCGAAGAAATTTTTATCAAGATTTAGGATGTAGCCTCGCAATGGGTAATATTGAAAAACGCTCGCAAATGCCAAATGTTGTAAACAAATTTTCCTACCAAAAATTCACTAGAATCGATGATGGGGCATCCACTGGTACCATCAGGGTCATCATTTGCTACGGAAAATAAATCTCAAGAATCTAAAGGCCCTAAACCAGTAGTGGGATCATGCTATATTTGCCGAAACAAAAATAAAAAGCAAAGAAAAACCAGAAAATGTTGCAGCGTTTGCAAAATCCCAATATGTGATGAACATGCTCAAACCATCACAAAATGTTTCACTTCTGAACTGTATATATATATATATATACATATATATATTTGTGAATTTATTGTTGTTTTTATTCCCCCCCCCTATTAATTTTCAACTTAAACACATATAGGTACGAATGTACCTATCCGTGCTTAAATGGGATAATAAGTTTGGGATTAAAATAAAAAATTTCTACGTAAGGTAAATGTTATAATTTTTATATAAAAGGCATTATCTTTCCTTATTTTAAGATGTCATAAAACATGTCCATTTTTAAATTAAATTAAATAAGTTACTGCATAACAAAAATTAAAAAGGTACATCTGTACCTTTCCGTGCACATAAGGGTTAACAAGTTTTACAGGAGAAGGAAAAGACATTTCACTACCAGATAAAACTTTGATTAAAGACTTTGATTAAGACTTTAATTTAAAGTATTTCCTTATTTTTTTCAGTATAATTAAATATTGAAATAATATTAAGGCATACTTTCATAAAAGTGTTATCTAGTAGTGAAATGTTTTTTCTTCTCCTGTAAAATTTGTTAAAATGCCCATAGAGGTTCTTGCAAATGCAGCGACGATATATAAATAATTCTTTGGAATACCTGTAAATCAAACCGAACTTGAATAAAAATTTTGCATTTGTAGACATTTTATTTATATACTTTTTAATTGGTTAAACAAATATTAAAAATTTTCCCCAACTTTTCGCCAACGATGTTGGCATCTTCAGAAGCGAAGTGTAACTAAATCTTAAGATTTACATCGTTGGCGAAAAGTACTTTAAGCACTTTGCGTTTTTTGTTCAAATACCGACAGACAGCTGTTTCGACCTATATTGGGTCTCATCAGTGTCGGGCAAATTGGTGTAGTGGAACACACCCAAAACAAAAGATTTCCTGAGCTTATATATATTTGGTGTTGGGGAATATTTCTAATAGTTGTTTAACATATCACCAAAGTTGTCCTTTATCAAGTATCAGCATGATATACAAATACTTTAAATTTACATAATGAATGGACGAATTCTTTACATTAATTATTTGCAGTAAAATTTAAAACTGAAATTTATCATAGGTAAAATTTTATTTTTGAAATAAAATGATTTATTAGGTTTATAATCCGACCAAATTTTTTTTAAGAGGTTTAAATCGGTTCAAATGAAGATTGATTCGATTGTTCTATAGAAGCACTATAGTGCTAAATTGGAGTTAACAGGCTGAACAGGTCTTAAATCAGTTTTCGTAGGTAAAAGTAGGTTTAAATTAGCTGTAATTCATGTACCTATGTTAAAATTCCCAAAACTTTAGATGCATACGTTAATTCCATTTTCCCGATTTTTCGGTTCTAATGACGTTTAAATTTGACCCAAATTATGACCTTTTACAACATACAGTCCAAAAAAGCTCAGGTCACTGCGCATGTCGATTAATAAATACGCGACAATATTTGAATTTAAATATATCGTTGCTGCGCCTGAAAAAGCATCTATACATATGTTCATTTTAACAACAGGAGAAGCAAAATACATTTCACTACCAAATAAAACTATAAAATATAAATATAAAATATAAACTAAAGTATTTCCTAATATTTTTAAATTTAATTAAATATTGAAATAATATTAAGGAATGGATACTTTCATACAAGTTTTATCTGGTTGTAAAATATTTTTTCTTCTTCTGTAAAATTTGTTAAAATGCGCATATAGGTTCTTGTAGGCGCAGCGGCGATATATAAATAATTTTTTGGAATACCTGTAAATCAAACTGAACTTAAATAAAAATTTTGCATTTTAAAAATTTTATCTATATATTTTTTAATTGGTATACGTATTTGCAGTAAAATTAAAAACTTAAATTTATCAATTGTAAAATTTTATTTTTGAAATAAAATGATTTACTTAATTTATAATCCGACCAAAAATTTTATTAGAGATTTAAATCGGTTCAAATGAAGATTGATTCGGTTGTTCTAGTGCCAAATTGGAGGCTGAACAGATTTAAATCAGTGTTCTGAGGTCAAAGTAGGTTTAAATTACAATCTAAATTTTGACTCGGGTCCGGTCAGGTCTTTGATGTTTGAATTAAAGAGGTTTAAAGTTTATTTAATTAAGGCAGCTCTTGAAGTTTACAGTTTTACATTAAGATTATATATTTAATTGATAACATTTACAATATTATTATTATTATTTTTTAGTTTACTGGATGAATCTACTCAATCCTCAACGCCTAGTACTCATTTTGGAAATTGTCTTTCACCCTCAAGTTCACCATCTCCATTACTAGTTTCACAATATCAGATGCCTTATGAATACAGGGGAGAAGATATTGTTTCAACACAACAAGTCAGCCAACCTAAAAACCAAGATTTATGGGTGGCAATGCAAAACGATAACTTTTATCAAGAGTTTCGACAATATGATAATCGGTATTGTGCCGATTATATTAGACAATCTTACCCAGATGCGATTCCAGTGTATTCTCAAAGAACCAGTTTTGTATCTAAAATCACTGGTCAGGGACAAAAAGTTAATAAAGAAACTAGAATAAGACGACCTATGAATGCATTTATGGTTTGGGCAAAAGTGGAAAGAAAAAAATTAGCAGATGAAAATCCCGATCTTCATAATGCAGACCTAAGTAAAATGCTAGGTAAGAATCAACAGAATTTACGTATATACAAGGTGTCCCTAAACTTAGTGGCATAAGTTTAGGAGGAAGTCAAAATAAGAGGAAAATCTAAATAAATATTTTTTCTAATTACGTATGTTTAAAAGATACAGGGTGATAAAGTGTTACTTATCATATCAGTTTTTTTTAATATAACCTCTACTGTGGTAGTCTTGGAAAGGTGATATTTTCACTTACTACCAAAACACATATTCACACATACTTACAATTGTACTTACAATTGTTCGAGTGAACACAGTGTCCTAGAAACAGGGGTTGCTTAAGCTTATTGTTCCATACAAACTTTGAGGTTAGGTTTTTATACTATTTGATGCAATTTTTCGATTACTCAGTTCGGCTACTATTAAAAGGGTGTACCTAAAACTTCGATAAAATAAAGCGTTTCCGAGATATTCGAGATTACAATAATTGTTATATCGCATTAAAGGACTAAAAGGTACCTATACAAAAAAAAAAAAAAAAAAAATTTTTAATTGAAAAAACTACAATTTTTTTAATGTGACGGTCAGGGCAAAAAGTCCCGAGGCTCATGGAATGCCCTTTTTAGTTTTTTCAATTAAAAAATAAAATTTGTTATCATATACCTTTTTATCCTTTTAAATAATGCGATATAACAATTATTGTAATCTCGATTATCTCGGAAACGTTTTATTTTAAGTTTCAGAGGTACACCTTTTTAATGGTAGCCGAACTGTGTAATCTAAAAATTGCATCAAATGTTATAAAAACCTAACCTCAAAGTTTGTATGGGACAATAAGCTTAAATCAACCCCCGTTTCCACGACACTGTGTTCACTCAAACAATTATTAGTCTACCATAGTAGAAGTTATATTAAAAAAAACTGATATGATAAGTAACACTTTATCTCTCTGTATCTTTTCAGCATACGTAATTAGAAAAAATATTTATTTAGATTTTCGTCTTATTTTGACTTTCTTAATCTGCTCCTAAATTTATGCCACTAAGTTTAGACATATGGCAACGTTGTATGTATCAGAACTTTGAGTTGAAACGGGGGAATTGCCCAATTTTTTTATAAGAAATCTATTTCAAACAATCATGTGTACAATGTTGTCACAACTCTAAAAGTAAGGTTATCTTCCCAACTAACAATGTTTTATAAACATTTTGACAACGTTCTCACAGGCCTTATGAACACGGAATTTGCGCAGATTTATAAAACAAATCGACTGTATAACGTTTCTAAAACATTTAATGTTGCTTGCTGTTATTATACAATAGTTTTTTGAATGTTTATAAATTGTTAATAAAAATCAAATAAAACTGAACATTATAAAATAGTTTTGTTAAAGCTCTGTTACTGAAATAAACATATATATATTAGGGTGATTCATTTCCGCAAAGTTTTTGTTTTCTTCGGTGCTCAAGCAAAATATTAATCTGTATATAGAAAAAAAAATTCTCAACAAGTTTGAGCTCTTAATATAAATGTTAAGTACTTACTATTTAAATTTAAAGTTTTACCATTTAAAATGAATTTAAAAAATATATATATTTTTTCAAATTTCTAATGCTTACCCACCTTTGACAATATTGCAAATCGGTTTAATACACCTTATGGGGAATTTCACGCTCTTTAAAATTGCTTTTGAGTTTTTTTTTGTAACTCGCATTGGTTCACCAGTAGGAGTCATCAAAGGACAGTTTTTGAAAAAAATCGTTTTTTTTTAATTTTTTCTAACAAACCGCAAAAAGTAGGGAGAAAAAAGGACTGAATCATAAAAAAAGTTATCCAACCAATATTTAATGAATTTACAGCCATTTTTATAACTGAAAACGTAAGAAATTAATAATTACCAACTCATAATGTTATTTAGATTGATTTTTTCTATTTATTATCATTATATTTCCCTACACTAAGAAGTTTTTTAAAATTATTGATTTCTCACTTATAATGAATATGAAAACAACAGATAAATTCATAAAAAACAATAAGAAAATTGTAACGTGGATTTTGCAATTTTTCAACATTTCTGTCATATAGCAAAAAAATATAAATGAAGATTATTTAATTTTTTTAAGCGAAATTTGAAATATGTTACATAACCTTCTGTATATTCCGATTAAAGTTTTGTTGTTTTTTTATGAATTTATGTGTTGTTTTCATATTTATTATGAGTGAGAAATCATAATAATTTTAAAAAAGTTCTTAGTGTAGGGAAATATAATGATAATAAATAGAAAAAATCAATCTAAATAACATTATGGGTTGGTATTTATCAATTTCTTACGTTTTCAGTTATAAAAATGGCAGTAAATTCATTAAATATTGGTTGGATAACTTTTTTTTATGAATCAGCCCATTTTTCTCACTACTTTTGGCGATTTGCTCGAAAAAATAAAAAAAACGATTTTTTTCAAAAACTGTCCTTTGACGACATCTACTGGTGAACCAATGCGAGTTACAAAAAAAAACTCAAAAGCAATTTTAAAGAGCGTGAAATTCCCCATAAGGTGTTTTAAACCGATTTGCAATATTGTCAAAGGTGGGTAAGCATTAGAAATTTGAAAAAAAAAATATTTTTTACATGCATTTTAAACGGTAAAACTTTAAATTTAAATAGTAAGCATGCTTAAAATTAATATTAAGAGCTCAAACTTGGTGAGAATGTTTTTTCCTATATGCAGATTAATATTTTGCTTGAGCACCGAAAAAAAAACAAAAACTTTGCGGAAATGAATCACCCTAATATATATATATATATATATATATATATATATGTATATTAGGGTGTTCCTTATGTAGGGGTCGGAAAAAATTTAACAGAGCCGCCCCCCAAATCGGTTCCAAATCTCAAAAAAAAAATTCCTGCAAAATTTTAGGTCATTCGGTCAAAGGGAACACGTGCCCCACAGGGGTTTTTTAAGAAATAATTGAGAAAATTCGGCTGATATAACTCCGAAACGGTCCATCGTAGGAAAAAAAAGTGTATATAAATTTTATGTGTTTTTTTTAGATAAACAACTTTTGTAATAACAGTCCTGCGTTAAAAAAATTTATTCTGGGTCAAAACGCGATAAAACGCTTTTTTGTGTACTTTAGCGCTACCTACTTTTTCAATTTTCTGTCCTAGAGCATCGACCCAATGACATAAATTGTAGGAGACAATGCACCCTACATTTTTTGTTTACAAATTTTTTTTCTTAAACTAACCGATTTTGAAAAAAATTAAATCCAAAACTTTTTGAGTTTTCACCAAAAACACGTTGTGCTCCGAAACTCCGAAACGGTTTATCGTAGGAAAAAAAAGTTTAAATAAATTTTGTAGTTTTTTTTCAAGCTAATCAATTTTCCTAATGCCTTTGTCACAATAGTGTTAATGTTAATGGTAATGTTTATATAGCATAGACAAATGCGTGTATCAACGTAACCATCAACATTACCATCATTGTAAACGGATACACGCATATTTCTATGCTTTGGGTATTAACATTAACATTACTATTAACATTAACACTATTGTGAGATATAATAATAGTGCTGCGTTAAAAAAAAATCGAGTTCAAAAAGCGATACAACGCTTTTTTGGTACTTTGGCCCTACCTACTGCTGAAATTTTCGATCGACTTAGGGCCGGTTTATCAATATCCAGTTAAAGTTGCAGTTAGTTATCGGGCAGATAATCTCCATGGATACCATTGTTCTCACAACGATCGATATGGAATTTAACTGTCAGATAGACTAACTGGAACTTAACCAGAGATTGATAAACCGGCCCTTAATAACATAAATTGTAGGGACTACATTTTTTGATTAAATTTTTTTTTCTAAATCTTATCGTTTTTGAGAAAAATAAAATATAAAAAAACAAAAATTGAGTTTTCTCCTTAATCCGGAGTAGGATAACGCAGTTGAGTTTTCTCCTTAATCCGGACTAGGATAACGCAGTTGAGTTTAGGCTTTTCTTATAAGGCCACAATGATTCACGCAAAAAAAAAATCTTGCAAAATTTAAGATTAATCCGTCAAAACTAACACGTACGCACGTGTTATTTTTGCCGATTAACCTCAAATTTTGCAAGATTTTTTTTTTGCGTTGATACACGCATTTGTCTATGCTTTATTAACATTACCATTAACATTAACACTATTGTGACAAAGGCATTAGGAAAGTTGATTAGCTTGAAAAAAACTACAAAATATATTTTAACTTTTTTTTCCTACGATAAACCGTTTCGTAGTTTCGGAGCACAACGTGTTTTTAGTGAAAACTCAAAAAGTTTTGGATTTAATTTTTTTCAAAATAGGTTAGTTTAAGAAAAAAATTTTGTCAACAAAAAATGTAGGGTGCATTGTCCCCTACAATTTATGTCATTGGGTCGATGCTCTAGGACAGAAAATTGAAAAAGTAGGTAGCGCTAAAGTACACAAAAAAGCGTTTTATCGCGTTTTGACCCCGAATAAATTTTTTTAACGCAGGACTGTTATTACGAAAGTTGTTTATCTAAAAAAAACACATAAAATTTATATACACTTTTTTTTCCTACGATGGACCGTTTCGGAGTTATATCAGCCTTCCGAATTTTCTCAATTATTTCTTAAAAAACCCCTGTGGGGCACGTGTTCCCTTTGACTGAATGACCTAAAATTTTGCAGGAATTTTTTTTTATGATTTGGAACCGATTTGGGGGGCGGCTCTGTTAAATTTTTTCCGACCCCTAAATAAGGAACAGCCTATTATATATATATATATATATAAATTGTTATTTGCTCAATTAATTACTATTAAACAAAAATAGGGAAACATTTTGCCTAAATGTCAAAGAATTTATTGCGTTAAATGTTAAATGAAAACGTTATTAAATAAATTAAATTAGTATTTAATGCAATAACATTCTAAGATAAAATGAAAATAAATATCAATATAAATATCAATAGATTTAGGAGCGATAACTTTTGTTGTTAATTTAAAAACAGTAAACGATTATAAACCAAGTGC